TAGGGAGGGGACTAAGGGTAAGGATGGGGAGTTGGATTTCTTCTTGTTGTTGGGGTGTGCGGGGAACCGTTGTTTAATGCATGCTGTAATGCACGTCACATATGGATTTATCCAGTCCAGGGAGTGGAGCATTGGTTTCTATTCAGAATTCACACTGTTGCTGGAAAGACATCTTCAAATTTGTTAGAGCGGAAGGTGAATGTTTCTGCCTTGGCAAGAAATTCCTGCAGCAGCAGCACGGGGTGGTCTGGCAACCTGCTTGAGGCTGGAGGAGCTGGGAGAAGCTGAACCAAGGTAGGCTTTTCTTCTCTGGTCCTTCAGGTTATATCAAGTTATAAAAACTGAGAGGAAGACTCTCTAATTGCATGAAACTACAGTATTTCAGCTCATCAGGATAACCTGTGTTTAAACTCACTCTTCCTCAGGGAAAGAGTCAAGTCATCTCTGGGGTCTTGTCCGAGGCAGCAGCCGATGCCGACTGGTTCTACAGTTACTGAAAGTCGCATTTTACAGGGTCTAGAAAGGTCTGAGCAGAAATTTCATGTTAGAAAATTAGGTTGTGGCTCCAGCATCTTAAGCTCTTCTGTTCTCTTTGGGCATTTGTTCCTACAGCCTTCCCTGAAAAAAGCAAGGCTCAGTCATGCTGTGGTTCAGGTCAGGAGACTGACATTGGATTAAAACAACTTCAACCCCCACCTGAGATTTTCCCACATTTGCTATATGTCATGACTAGTTCTTCTTTCCAGTTTACCTGTGGAACTCTTGCTCTTCCTAATATAAGAAGGTGCTGAGAGTGTGAAGTCCCAAACCAACCCCTTTATGAGATGCCACTGAATCGTCTTGCCAGTGCCAGGAAACCCCTGCGCCCAGGAAACCTATTATATCTCAGAGGCTCCCTCAGCTTTCTGTTTTAGGGTGGTGTTTGCAATGGCAGCCGCATCTTCACCATCTCCTGGAAAACCAAGGAGCTGAAGCTGATGGATCACATGCTGTCAGCTGCAGCCGTGGTCCCAGTGACCTCAAGCAGAGGAAAGACTGGGGTTGACCCACCATGCCTTGCTTGCTTCTTCAGCCGTGCAGGTCACAGGTGATGAGATTGCTTGAGGAGCTGGACCATTACTCTTCCCTAACCCAACTCATGTCCATCTACCAAGCAACCAACAGGACCATCTTCAACTGGACAGACAGCCGTGTTACCGAGTGGGAGAAATTTGCTGAGCTGGCTAAATATGAGCCCGAATCCCAGAAACCAATCATGAAAGCTCTCCTAATCGTGGCATATTCGATCATTATTGTAATGTCTCTCTTTGGGAACATGCTGGTGTGCCACGTGGTGCTGAAGAACAAGAGGATGCACTCAGCCACCAGCCTCTTCATCGTCAACCTGGCTGTGTCTGACATCATGATCACGCTGCTCAACACACCTTTCACTCTAGTAAGTGGCTGGCTGTGCTATCACTTCAGCCAGGGGGGGAGTCTCCCGCCCTCTAGAACTCTGCCTGGTGGTCACAGTCTCTCTGTGCATGCTCTCCTAGGGCTGAGGTGGGAACCCAGCACCACCAAGTCTAATAGACAACTCTACCAGGCGAGTAGAACACTGTTCAGAAACCTGTGGGGTCCCTTTGCTCTGTTAGTCTCTGTATCTCCTAGAGACTCTTAAGTCTCTTCATGTGTGCCACCAAACCCCAGCAAGAGCTACTCAGGGAATGAGAAAAGGTGCTTGGTAAACATGTGCTTTAAATTTTCACGCAGGAGAGCACTGAAGAGTCCCTTAGTAGGTCATACTAGGGGACTGGAAGAAAGGAGCTGAGCTTTTCAGAGCTGCCAGTTGGGTAAAGGCTTCAGTGAAAGCTCTCCAGACCTGACAGTGGGCTTGATACCAAACCTTGGTGCACTTTTTCCAAATACAGTTGTTAATTCAATAAAAAGTTATTACCGCTGTTCACACACAATGTCTGTAGAACAGGCCAGGAGGGCTGCAGCAGCACCACTCCAAAATCTGTGGGGTTTGACCTTCTAAATTCTTCTGTAAAGGTGTTTCAGAGCCCAGCATAGCTGATCTTTCTTTGGGTTGCAGGTGAAGGTGCCCTACCAGCCAGAACCCCTGAGCCAGCTCAGGTCCACCCAAGGGATTTCCCCATGGATTTGTTTTCAGCACATTTTCTGGCTGATGAGCTGTTGTTTCCCCTCAGGTCCGGTTTGTGAACAGCACGTGGATCTTTGGAAAGGCCATGTGCCACATCAGCCGCTTCGTGCAGTACTGCTCCCTCCATGTCTCCACACTGACCCTGACAGCCATCGCTCTTGACAGGCACCAGGTGACACCACCCACCCCCTCTTCGCTTCCGAGGCCTTCCCAAACCCCCTTAATCTTGGTTGAGCCACAGGCCCAAGGTGGATGAATTTGGGGATTCAGCCCATCTCCAGTAAGAAGGCTCTAGAGCTTAACTCAGAGCCACCCCTCGTGTGCCAGGGACTGGAAGGCTTGATGGACCTCTGGGGGTTCTCAGATACGGGGCAGAAGGGAAGGAACAAGATGCAGCATCATGGGTTTCACAGGGTGCTCCCAGATTTCCAGCCAAAAAGAGTGAGAACACCTTTTCCACACAGTCTGAAGAGAGCTTGGTCCAGCCTAGCCACAAGTATGGCAGGACAACTGATTCCAGAGGCTTCATCCTATGGAGTGGGCCCTGGAAAGGCAGAGAGCTGGCACTGAGCATCAAGTGCTACTTCAGCTGTGCAGAAACTTCTTCAAGGTATTTTGTTTAACATCCCAGGCCCATAGAACAGAGTGTGAGGCATCCTCAGCTCAAATTGAGATTTAGTTGTCTGTTTGCTCTTTTCTTTCCCCACTGGGCATTTGCTGTGTCATCAAGCTGCAGGGCAGTTGGAGTTAAATTCTGAGACCAGTGTCCCGTGGTAGAGCTGTGGGGTTGATGCTGGATCAGTGCAGAGGGGAAATCTCTGATGGAAATACTGGGAGGAGACTTGAGCTGTGAGAAGGTTGTGCTCACTGTCTGTCCATGGCCATGACAAATGCCATCTGCGAGGCCAGTGCAGGGCAGTGAGGGCAGCCTGGGCCATGTGCTTGTCCCTCATAATCATTCCCTTCTCTTGTGCCATCGTCAAATAGTGACTTTTAGACTATCAGATTTTATCAGCTTAAAGATCTAACGGTGAAAATTTAATGAAAGGTGAGTTGCTGCCTCAGGAGAGGGGAGGAGGGCTCAGTTTCACAGGCCCAGCCAGAACAGGAGACATTTTTTATGTAGTTCATACAGAATAAACAAACATACCCTGGAGTAAAGGCACTTGTGTAGATATACTTTTTTTTCTGGCCTAATGTAACCCCCAATTTAAGGGAAATGGTTCTTACAGAAAAAGATAAAATTTTAAAGTTCTTCTGAGCAGACTGAGAAATTCAATGTTTCCCATTTTCCAGGTCACTCTAATGAGCAGGACATTTTCCTAATCATGGCTGTCATTTTCACATCATTAACTGCATTAGGAACTGCCTCTGCCTGTGGGCTGTGAGGTGCTCTGCTTCCCTGTGGGAGAGGATTCACGGCGAGTCTCTGTTGCAGGTCATCCTGAACCCACTGAAGCAGAGGATGTCCCTGACGAAGGGAGCGCTCAGCATCTCTGTTATCTGGCTGATGGCAACCTGTTTCTCCCTGCCCCATGCCGTCTACCAAAAGCTTTTCCAGTATAACTACAGGTGAGCGATCTCCCCTTCCCAGGGAGTGTGCAGGGGTCTGGTGGTCCCTGTGCAGTGCCACTCAGCAGGGAGGGTGCTGGAGGCTCCCAGGGTGGGGAGGGGTGCTGTGGGATCAGAGGGAGTTGGTGTGTGGGGGAGATCCCACTTCCTGCAGCAAAGGCTGTGCAAACGCTGCCTGGCCTGTCGGGGGGCACAGGCAGCCCCAGGTCCTGGGTTCGCTCTCACCACCTCCCCCATGCCCGGACGAGGGGCTGGGTCCCACTCCCAGCCCCGTGCTGGGGCAGCTCCAGGTGCAGCTCTGGCCCTGCCAGGAGGGATTCTGTCCAGAGAAGGTCATTTTCTCCCGAGAGCCTTTCCTCTTCCCTGTACCTGCTCAGCTCCTCAGACCCAGCAAGACCAAGTCCAGACAACTTGCTCATGCAGGGAGGAGAGAGAGAGCCAAACTGCACTTTGGAAAAGAAAGAAAATAAACCTCATGGTGGGAACACCTGGTACTGACATCAGCAAGGCTCTGCAGGAAGAGGGCACTGCCCTGGTTTGTCAGCAGGGCCACCAACCCCTTGTCCCCAGGACTTCATATATTGAGTTACACGTGCCTTCCCTGTATTTCACCCACGTGGATTTATGAATCAGGACCAACCTTCCTTGAAACTTGAGGCTCCTCTGCCCAATGTTACACACACAATGAGAAAAGCAAAGCAAAGCCCTCACCCCCTCCTCTGAGGCTGAGCAGTGCAGGGCTGGGGGGAACCAGTGTCGGGCTGGGGGGATACCTGTGCAAGGCAGCTCAGGGAATCAGTGCTTGGGCAGGAACCAGAGCTGTCCTGGTGTGCCATGGTGCCTCCCCACAAGGGAAAGGAACTCTTTGCTTGGCTGAACACAGTGACAGGAGCTATTAAAAGGAGATGACGTAGAATTTCACACCCACGTGAGGACTGCTGAAATATCAGAATGAGTTGAAGGTTCTGATCTAGAGAGGAGAAAAAGAAAAAGTTTTTTAAAAAAAGCAGCTTCCCACAAATGGCTCAGGGATGGCATTTGTTGCTGCTGTCACCCTCTGCCAGGGAGAAACACAAAACCAGAACTTTGAGGTTTCTTTGTGCAGTTCCTCAGTGGCACCCAAACTGTTCTGTCCCTCCTGTCTCCACCAGCCTGTGGCATTGCTGTAACCCCTTCTGGTGAGAAAACAGTCCGTGATGGTACCCAAGGGGGATGGTTGTGGTGGGTGTCATGCTCCTGGTGCTGCCCTTTGCAGGAAGGTCAGTCTCAAGGGCAAGGGGATAATCTTACCATGTCCTGTGTTTTCATGCTGAGATCAGCATCCCAGGGAAGGGGGCAAGGAGGCACTGGCAGGCAGCAGGAGTGAGATTTCTATTGTAGACGTTGACCTTCCATATTAAGGACAAATATTGTTTCCTACAGCCCAGCTGGGTCCCTCCCATCAGCATGGCAGGAGAGCAGGAGTGCCTGCACAGGCTGTCACTGCTCCTGGGGCTGCACCACTGGGAGTGTGAACAGGGCTTCACAGCCCTCCCCTGCCTGTGCTTGTGCCTGATGTGACTGAGATAGCCAGGGGATATCGTACATTCAACTGCCCAGACTGTAAACACGGGGCAGGGTTCCTCTGTGCTCACGTTGCTCCACAGCTGTGCTCGGGGATTAGGGGACAAATTGCTCATGAATGAACAAACGCCATGATCTGTTTCTGGGCACCTGTCTCTGCTCATCCTTTGGCACAGCCAGAGGAAATCGAGCCCCACATTGGCATGAGGCAGCTCAGCGATATAAGGACTTCCAGGACATGCTATTCCTGTACCTGCTTTCCAGTGAAAAAAAATCCCAGTCGTAATATTGCTTATAATAGCTCCTGCAGGGCCAGGGCTCCTGAGATTCTCACCAGAGAGCGGCTGGGATTCTGGGATGAGGAAAAGGGGCTCCACCAGCATTCATCTCTCTGGCTGCACTGCACAGTAGAGTGTCTGAATTCCTGGTCATATCAGAATTCACCAAAACAGTATCTTATATGGCCCGCTTTGGCAGGTCCCCTTTGGCAGGCAGGCTGGCAGCTGGCCTCATTTGTGCCAGTGGTGAGCCACATCTGTTGAGGAAAAGTTAAGACTGAAGTTCAGAAAGGATGATTTTCCCTCCTGCGTCAGTCCCACTCTCAAGCAGCCTCTCCAGGTCCTCCATGCTCGGCTCATAGAGCTCAGCTCCCGCACCTATTGACGCCCCTCTGACCTCAGCCTCTGCTCCAGCTGCCTGTTCTCAACAGTCTTCTATTTGTGGCACAAAAGACAGCTCCAGTGGTTGAAAGCAGGATATTAAAGATATTAATCAATACTGCAATGAATAATGCGACTTGATGGGGACTAAAGTCTGTGCTGAACAGAGAAGAGCAGAGGACAAGGACTGAAGAGAGAAGGGCAAAATGAATAAGTGAAAGAAAAAGAAGGGGAAAAGGAAAGGGAGAAAACATCCACTGGAAGTAAATGTGCAAGTGCTCTTTTCTCCTAATGTTCCGTCACCTCCAGTCACCATCTGCGGGTGCGGAGGGAACACGCGGAGCTGCAGAGGGTGCTGGCACTGAGAGCCACTCCGGGCAGTGGGAACATGCCAGGACTCTGGGCTGGGTGTAAGGGCTTGTATATGCCATATCTGGCCTATATTTCTTTATTTTCAAGGGAAGCCACTGTCCGGAGTCTGTGCCTCCCTGATTTCCCTGAGCCCGCAGAGCTGGTATGGAAGTATCTGGACCTGTCTACATTTCTCCTTCTTTACCTGCTGCCTCTGCTGATCATCACCGTTACCTACACGCGCCTGGCCAAGAAGCTGTGGCTCCGCAACGCCATCGGGGACATCACCACGCGGCAGTACGTCACCCACCACAGGAACAAGAAGAAGAGCATCAAGATGCTGATGCTGGTAGTGGTGGTCTTTGCGGTCTGCTGGTTCCCCCTCAACTGCTACGTGGTGCTCATCTCAAGTCTGGGCATCAAGACAAAGAACTCTCTCTATTTTGCCCTGCATTGGTTTGCCATGAGCAGCACTTGCTACAACCCCTTCATCTACTGCTGGCTGAACGAGAGCTTCCGCGCAGAGCTCAGGGCCCTGCTCTGTATGTGCCAGAGGGCACCGCAGGCTCAGGACCAGGCACTGCCGCCCGCGGCCGCGTCCTGCCGCGAGGCGTGGATGGAGCAGGCCAGGTGCAGGAAGGGAACTGTCTCCCAGGCCATCTGCTCCACCGGGAACCTCCCCACGGCCAACACGGACCTGTGAGCCGTGGGGCTGAGGGGAGTTACCTGGGGGTGTGGGACATCAAAAAGCATCTCCTTGTCTCTCCTCAGAAGCCAACATTGCTGCTCTGATGTTTCACTGCTGACTTTTGCCTGGTCTCGCTGTAGCCCCTCCTATTGCTCGGCATGGAGGGTGAATAGCCTCTCCAGCACCCTACCAGTAAAACCCCTGCTGCAGCTGGCCCAGGGAGCAGGAGTACATGCAGGGCACATGGAGCTCCTCAGACACAGAAATCTGCTTTTGGGGATTCTCATTTATCGTTATCAGTGAACCCAGATTTCTATCACTACTCACACTGGCCTGAGTCGCTGGCCTGGAACAAGTGCCACGACATGAAACTTGGCACAGCATCAGAAACAGACTGTGCTTGAAGGAAGGACTTGGACATTCAGATGAACTTCATCCATAGGGAGTTTCACCAGATAGTTTATAGCAAAGCCTTCTGACAGAAGGAAAGGTTTTCAACAGTAACTTCCCCCTCAGATGCTGCTGTTCCTCCTGCCCCATGTCCGTACCGCTGACAGCAGCAGGAACCCAGCCCCGACTGAGAGGAGCAAGGATACACCCCAGGAGCCATGGCTGCAGCCTCAGATGGCACGATAACCAACTAATTTGGTCCATTGAGAAGTTCTTTGTATTATAAATATATTAATTCAGGAAATAGAGCTACAATGGCACTCTATGGAATGTCACAAATTATTTCATCAGAGCTGTAGTATTCACTCACTGAAAAATGGAATCATTCTGCCTCATTACTAGTGGCTGTAAAAGTCTCATTTAAACAACAGGAGGGCAAGAAAGGACTGGAAAGAATGTCCTGTGAGGAGCAACTGAGGACTCTGGGACTGCCTAGTTGGTGCAAACCAGGTGATGAATTCCAGTAGCCCAAAGGAACTGTGGCTTCTGGGGGCAGGGATGCTCCTGGTCTGCCCTGGCGATAGCCCAGACAGAGCATCTGCCCAGGGAGGAGGTGGGGGGGCCCTGGTCACTGGAGGTGATGAGGACATACTCCCACCACTTCCTGGGGCATGATAAGCCAGAACAAAGACTGGAAACCAAGGACTGATTTTTTTTTTCTCCTTTTATGCAGCAAGAAGGAATAGGAGAGAAAGGAGTGGGAGTCTTCTCTTCTGTCCTCTTGACCCTGGTTGGGTGCATTCCTGCACCTTGGGTGTGCATGGCAGTGCCTGAACCAGGTGAAGACAGCGGAGCACCAGGAGTGGCAACACAAATGGGTGAATACTTGGTCCCTGAGACACCTTGCTTGGAAGTCACAATTATTGAACATGGGAATCCAAAGCTGTCTGTGCTAGGGTGCCAGCACTGCCTCCCTCAGGGTCTGTTTCAGTCAAAAGACCTAACTGGGAGTTTTTCTAAATGTTAAAATTATCTCTAATTAATGAACATAACTTCATTCAATTATTAAAAGAAGTGGTCATTTGCTTTTTTGCTCTTCCTCACCCCTCATCAGCTTTTAGTGAGGGGCTCTCGAAGGGCACGTATTGTTTTTAAGATTTCTTAGGTTTGTTTTTCTTCCTTTCTGTCTTTAAATGGCTTTATAACCTTTTTCTGGAGGAATCAAACACCTCACTCCAAGGAAGTGGGTCTCTCTTCACACTCCCTTGATCTTCTGCTAATCCCTCTAGTTAGCCATCTCTTGCTGTGAGAAATAACCTGGCTGATTTTCCTTGGATCTGTCAATCGCAGCATCTCCTCATTGCTGAATTTTTCTCCCCTAAATGGGCAGGATGTCAGAGCTGACTGTATCACATCTCCGTAAAGGCTCAGCTATCCGGACTGATAATTATCAATGCCTGCATGAGATTCAGAGCCACGCATTCTTCACCCAGTGCCTCGAGACTCCCATATCACGTGAGGATACCCTGACTCCCAGCAGCACCCCTCAGCAGTTCTCAGGCAAACATGGGATGCAAAACATCAAAACCCCCCCCAGCCTGAGTGATGCTTGCCCAGGGCAAGGGCAGTGCCTGAGGGGCAGGAGGCTGCATCCCTGATGGACTGCAGGCGAGCAGAGGGCTTACCCAGACAGGTTCTGGAAAAGGGAATCTGTGAAATTCGGCTTTTGCTGAGTCTGAGTCAACTGAGCAGGTAAAGAGATGCTGAAACATTCCTTAATCTCTCTCTGGTCCCGCTGCCCACCTGTGGGAACGGCTTTCCGAGCGGTGGCAGTGGCAGCCCGCGGTCCATGCCCCTAGGATCACGGGAGAGCTTCCAGAAGGGACCCCCGGCTGCCCTGCGTGCGCTGCCGGCCTCAGCCGGGCTGTGCTGGGGGGCACAGGGTCCTGCTCCGCCCGGGGCAGCAGCAGCAGCAGCAGCAGCACGGTTTGGTGCCGGCAGCCCCGAGGCTGGAGCCGGGCAGGAGTGCAGGGTGGGAGGAGAATCCCCCTGGAACTCTCTCCGCGTGGAGAGCCCTCGGCCCGTCTGCGGAGCGAACCCTCGGCCTCGGCGGCTGAGGGTGGTTCCTCTCGGCAGGCGAAGCCCCGGGAGGCAGAACCCCGAGGGGTGGTTTGGAGGGCAGATTATTGAAACACTGAGTCACTACAAGTCTACTGCAGGGAAACTATTTGAGCACACACAAATCAGGGTGCAAAGATCCAACGAGACATGTCTGAGTGATTAACAGCCCAAATTTATTAAGGTTAGCTCATGCCAGATGCAGCTGAGTGCCTTCAGCAGAGTTGCTGATGAAGACGATAACAGGGAACATAGTGCAAGGGATACCTGAATTCCAGAGACAAATCCTCTTATATAGCCCCATCACATAATGAACAAAGAAACCACAACATGCCAACTAGATTAACAAAAAGCAAGCAGAAAAAAACCCACAATGAGTCAGAAAATTAGCTCAGGAAGGAAAAACAGAATACAATTATCATCAGTTAGCTCTTCAAGTGGAAAACAGTATGGAGGGGCTAGCCAAAGCATGCTGCAGGGAAAAATGGGAATGTCCTCAGTTAAATCCAGCACAGGCCCTGGGAAGTGGGGGGTATAGTTGAGCCGGAGTCAGACCATCATTTTGCACTGAGAAATCACTTGGCAGCTTGGGTCATTCACGGACCAGGGAAGGACCTGGACGTGAAAGGCACACCCCAAATTCCCGCGTGGGCGATGATGCGCAGCCGCCCTGTGCCCCAGGCAGCAGGAGAGTACCTTCTCAAGCTGGAGCACACAGCTCTGCCCTCTCACCGACTGCAAAGCCGACCTGCCTGCCCCCCACAGAACCCCTCTGCTCCCCACAGAACCCACCTGCACCCCACAGAACCAGCCTTCTCCCCCTCTCTGCCCCCACCACCTCCCCCTGCCACTCCTCCTGCACTGTGGTGGGCAGAGGAACACTTTTGATCTCCCAGACTTTGGATGGAGCCCAGACGGGAATACTGGCAGGTGAGGGCAGGTTTAGCACCAGGCACAGGGTGCAGTCAGTGCTTGGTTTGAAGACTGCTGGCATTTCCCAAGCTGCTCTGTCCCACCAGTGCTCAGCAGTGATCCCCACCCCAACTCCAAGGTCTGTTCCTAAACTGCTCTCCCAAGGTGATGCCCGAATACTCCCAGTCCTTGGCTCTTCCTGATCTATGCTGAGCAGGTACATCAGAGGCATCTGGTGATGTTGCCCCTTGGGTATCTGCACTGGAGCAGGGCTCATGTCCTTTGGGGTCCCTGATGGAACTAGGCAGGGAGGCAGCAGCAGGTACCAAATGCTGCTCAGCCCTGGCTGCAGAGAAGCTCCAGGCAGTGCTGGGAGGGCTGGAGGGACCGGCAGCAGCAGGCGGGGGTGTGGGCGCTGTGCCTGGGGCAGCAAACGCTGCCTTGGGAGGTCACAGCGAGTCTCCCCAGGCAGCAAAGCAGAGGCACTTCTTGCCCTGCTCCCCACCCCTGGTTTTTTGTCCTTTGCCCTGGTAATTAGGGCTGAATTAATCCAGCTGGCCCTTGACTGAGGTTTCTGCACTGACTGAGCTGCCTTGTTCAGCAGTACCAAATCACAGAAGGACATTGCAACGAGCTCTCAGTGGAGAGCAGCTGTCACTTAACCAGAGGTGAGAGGAAAAAAATAATAATAAAACCCCTCAAAAGCCACAGACTGAGCCCTGCAGGAACCACGTGTCTGATTGTACAATAAAATAGTCTGTCGCTTGAGGAGACCTCTCCATGACAGGCCCATAAAAGTCTCCTTGGCAGATGAGGACAGATAATTTGCTTTATAAAATCAGATGGATGGACCATCTAACCCATGTGCTGGAGACAAACCCAATTGCTTTGTGGGACACCCAATTGCTGTAAAGGACAATTACAGGGAGTGTACCTATTAATGGAATTTCTGCTTATTACTTTGCAATTAATGGGGCTTCAGAGCATAAAGGTTTATATCCTCTATATCATTCCTACAGGCCTTCACTGCACACATCTGTATCTGATTCATACTGTGTCATGCAGGCTGTGGGACCTTGGTGGTCTCCTGCCCCTGGGATTTCCCCTCTGCAGGGACCTGCAGTTGGTGATTTTAGCTGACAGCAGCAATAGGGATTTTCAAAGCCTCATTTTGAGCATTTTCTGTTGTTCCTGCAGCATTGCAGAAGTCATTGCTATTTCAAACCCAGACTTAGACCAAGCTGAGCACTGCTAGCAGTGTGATTCCAGGGTGGCCAGACCACGGATGCTGTTAGGAGATAGTTTATGATCCCTAACAAAAATGATGGCAGCAAGTTTCAGAGCAGCAGATTTTGTACCAATTTTTGAGACAAACAATGTTTTCTCGTGGCCTCATCCTGTCTCAGGCAGTTTCCCACAGGAATTAAATGATCAATTAATCAATGGCTTCGACCTTTTGAAGCTTCTTTCTCCTTCCACAGCTTATTTTGACCTTTTACTGGTAATACATGCCAAACATGGCAGAATTCAGAATATAAGGAGTGCCTGAATCACTTCCATGATGGATTTACCCCAGTTCCTTTAGTGGGGAGCTACAGTAGGCTGGGGGGCTCTGGGCTATTTTGGGTAGTTTCATTTGCTTCTGAACTGTGATACTGCTAGGACCTTCCACCTTCAGGTTAATAAAACAAGTCCCTCCTAAAGGCTGGAAAAGAATCAAGTTTTAGTTTTTACCATTGTGGTATTTCCTTCACAGTACATTGTCTTTCATGAACCCCTTTTCACAGGTCAGTTATTTACCTGTTTGCCTCTACTTCCCACCCTGTTCTGAAATGAAATGCACTGGTTGCTCGTGCTGATGAACAGTGGCTGACACCAACGGTTCCCACATGGAGGTGGCCATGGCTGCACTCTAAATAAACTCTTCCATGCAGTGTCTCTTCCCTCTTTACATTCACATTTCTATGGCAGAATATAGACTTTTTTCCCCTTTGTTAAATTAGAAGGTTAGTTTTAAGAGACCTAAAGCTGAAGCTGACTTGAACACAAGGGTACCTCTGTGTTCTATTTAAGAGAATTGCATTAACTTGCCTTACTTTACCTTCCATTCAGGGGAATATAAGTATTCTGCTGTCCTGCACAGCTTGCAGGGTATGATGTAGGGATATTCATTCTCCGGGAGAACAGTTATGAGGAAAATTGGCCCTGTTGTTATTGTACTTGATTTGGGTATTTATTTGTAATCCAATAATTCCATCAAAGCAGCTCAAAGGAGGGTGAAGGGGGAGCGTGAAGAGGTATTGAATGGATTGTAAAAACCCTTTATTCTTTTGTTAAAGCTCCATCCCCAGTACTGCTGCATTGGAAGCCAAACCAGCCCAATAGCCGGGCTGCTGGCTCTTGTTAATGTACTAATTGTCACGCAGAAACACGCTGGCCAGGTTCAAAAACCAAAGTTTACCACCAGGGCTCAAGGCAGGAATACAGGAATTTCACTTGGAATAATAATGTATTTTTGATCGATAATAATTATTGGCATCAGTCTGTCCCTTAAGACAGCATGGCTCTGGAATTGGAGATGGATTTATTTTCCCTTAAAAATTAACAACTACTGCCAATAAAGGAATTGGGAACTTTTTTTCTTTTTTTTTAAATTTTTTAGTGGATGTTGTTGCTCCCAGTTTGGTCCCAATTAAGATGGTTT